GGGGGGGGGGGGGGGGGGATTATGTTCGGCATGGAGACATCAGGGCCGACAATCGACCGTACCAGCAACAGCCGAGTGACTACCTATTGGTTAATAGGCCGGGAAGCCGGGCAGGTGTGCCAGCCTCGACGATCAAAGGGATGGGTTCCCATCCGGTGAAGACATATCTACTGGACAATGGCTGAAGGTATTCTTGCGGGTAGTAGATAGAGCGACTGGTGCACTAGTCGTTCCTAACTAGGTGGATCGCCCTTATATGCCACGGAAAGATCTGTGACACAGGTAGCCTGTAGATAAAGGTTGTGGCTGTAGCTGAGAGAGCCACGGAACGCCGTGGGAAGCAACAGAAAGTTATAGTCACTTAGCTGATGCAGTGCCTGGTAGGACACAACTAGAAGCAAAAAGAGAAATAGCTACCGATCCATCCAAAAACAGCAGAATCAAATAACATGTTATGAAGTTCAACACTATTGCAGAGCCCGTAAACTAGCCGAGCTGGATTCCATGGCAATGTTCTTTTATCCAAGAAGACCCACTGAGCATAGTTCGGTAGCTGTAGCATTTAAGTACACTGTATACTTTTTTTGCGCGGTGCACCATATCAAGGAGTAAACAAATCACGATTAACAACATATAAGGGCTTGACGCCCGGTGAGGTTAGTGCCATGGGCGGTCATCTGGAGAGAACTCACTGAGGCTTGCAGGAAGACTAGAAGACGAAGCCACGTTTAGCCCTGCCATTGAAGTCTCTGGAATTCTGTTATAGGGAAAGAATTTGAAGGCTTCCGAGCTGATTTAACCACTTCCAGTACCGGTTCCAGTACTGGTGCTGCCGGTTCCCGTGCTAGTAGTGCCAGTTCCGGTGCTGGGAGTGCCGGTTCCAGTACTAGTGCTGCCAGTGCTGCCAGTTCCAGTACTGTTACTGCCGGTGCCCGTGCTGATCCCGCCAGTCCCAGTACTATTGCCAATACCTCCACTATTCGGGGCAGAAACAATAGCGTTGGTAACCTCCTCGGGGCTATCGCCAGCATCAGCAGCTTTGGTAGCAGCCGTAGCGGCGCCATTCCATCCACCACCCCCAGCGGCGGCGACCGCAACAGCAACAGCAGCGGTAATGTCTCCATTCGCCCCAGAGGCAGCAGCAACAGCAGCAGCGGCCGCAGCAGCGGCATTAGCTCCATCAGCCCCATCGGAGGCGGCGGACGCAGCGGCGGCGGCGGCAGCACTCCCTCCACCCGCGGAGGAGGCGACAGTAGCACAGGCTTCGGCGACAGCCTTCCCATCTCCGCCACCCGACGCGGCGGCAGCAGCAGCGGCAACAACAGCGACATCCGTTCCATTGCCCCCAGCGGAGGCGGCGGCAGCCGCAGCAGCAGCCGCAACACCCCCTCCGCAGGAGGTGACGGCAGCAGCAGCGGCGGCGGAGGCGGTATCCGCTCCACTAGCACCCGAGGCGGCAGCGGCGGCAGCAGCAGCAACGGCGGCGGTATTCCATCCGCTTGCACCTGCGGAGGCGGCCGCTGAGGCGGCGGCGGCAGCATCACTTCCTCCGCCTGCGGCGGCGTCGGCCGCAGCTGCAGCTTCAGCGACGTCCCCTCCATTCGCACCGGAGGCGGCCGCGGCGGCGGCGGCAGCAACGACCCCGACATCCTTCGCGCTACCCCCGCCGGCGGCGGCCGCTGCGGCAGCAACCGCGGCAGCTTGGGCATCCTTTCCTCCACCTGAGGCGGCGGCTTTTGCGGCGGCGGCGGCGGCGTCCTTTCCACTGCCGCCGGAGATGGCGATGGCGATGGCGACGTTGACGACGATGGTGGGTGGGCCAGGCGGGGTGTGAGGGATAGGGACCGGGCTCGGGGTGCTAGTCGTGCCAGGTGTGCTTGGAGTAGGAGTAGTGGACGAGGTGCTATTCTGGCCAGGCGAGCTGGGGGTAGAAGATGAAGAAGTGCCAGTCCTACCGCCGCTGATGGTAGAGGAAGAGGTAGTCAAACTCGCGGTGCTTGTCAGGCTGGGCGAAGTGGTAGTAGGAGAAGAAGTGCCAGTCGGGCCTTGCCTGGTAGTAGTAATAGTAGGCAACGAGTCAGTGATACCAGGGGCGCTAGTTGGCCTAGGCAAGCCGGTACCAGGAGAGGCGGTCTCCTGTCTCTCTTTCAGAGCAGGAGGGTCGGGTTCCGGGTTTGCAACTGGGTTTGCTACTGCGGACAGCAGCAGCACGCTGAGGACATAGAGTGAGGACTTCATGTTGAAGATGATTGAGGACTTTGTTTGCGTTGTTACAATCTTGATTGCCGTAGGTCACAGGAGGGTTATTTGCATAGCTTTTATATTGACACGCAGCGCGTTGCAATATGTCATTCTGGCCAAAGATATCCATCCAACAGGTCTAGAATCGAAGAAAAGTCTAAATGCAGATGTCTCGCATGTTCTACAGGTTTCTTGGCAGACGACACGATATACGATATGATATACGACGCGACACTCGACACTGTATACAACACGATATAGACACGATGTTTAACATCATAACCCGTGGGTCTTGGCCTTAGAAGGTCTCTTCCACAGTGTTCTAAGCCACCCTTCAGTTTCTATGAGCCACTCTTGATCATACGGATACGAAAGTCAGTCAATTTGTATAGGGTCCATGTTACATCGTATCAGGCTGAGCAAACAAAGAAAGATGTATTAAACGCGATCTGGGGTTCTAGCTTGCTTCCGAAAACAGTGGAGAAACGGTCGAGAACAAGAGATCGACCGGTGTGGGGCCGCTGAAGACCAATCTTTCGGGCTTGAGAGTCTGAACAGCTAAGGCTATGTCTACGTTACCATGGGTCGGGTGCTGGGGTGAACCAAGATAACCTTAATTCTTGACACGAGGCTTACGATGTCACGACCATGGAAGTGGATGGGCTGGTTGTTCCAGGTTGTTGTGGCGCCATGTGTAATATAATCAAGCACGCCATACCTGGACTCTGTATAGTTACTGGCATATGTATATTTCCTATCCTACGATTCAAGAGGATCTATTCCCGATCGCCATCAAGCCGATGTAGAGACAATTCGCGCATTGATAAAGCCCTTAGCTAGGATTCGGATAGTGGAATCATTGGTACTGGACCGACCATTACTTTGCATGTCAGGGGGAATCCAGACTGTTCCATACGGGATGTTCCAGATCTGGCCGTCTCACGCTACCATGAAAGGCTGGCCAGGTCGAAAATACCCCCACTGGTTCGCAACATCTAAGGACACGGTGTGCGGTGATACGACCTCGTCTGCATCACCACCCCACAGTATACTAGATCACCCATGCTGCTTGCGGGAAGCATCCAGCGTAGTGGTAAGCCCTGCGACCCACCTAAGCTGCGCGACGCATTGCCAACGTGGGAACACCGAAATCACGTCACGGTTGGGGTCGAGCTCGTGCCTCGAAACCGAGAATTCGCATCTTCCTCGATGAGCCAGCCCCCGGTTATGTTGTTTCTTAAAATAGTCCCGACGAGGATTGGGGGGCAGGTGTGGCTCGACTCACTCATGTTGCAATAGTCAGTGGTCCGCGCAGCGCACTTTCGAGGAACCATTGAGGATGAGGGCTTGGAATATGCGACGCCGCTTTGGCGTCGAATCAAGGTTGTTCTGCACCGAATGAACCGTGCCCCGTTCCGCAATGCCGGGTACATCAACAATCACATGATCATCAAGATCGAAATTGTTCTTTCAATGGCTTCATGCATTCGGAGATTGGAAATCGAGTATGTGGAATGTTTCTCGACGAGCACATTTGGAATAGAGCGGAGGTGTAAGGGTGGACAGTAAATATCCCAATTAAATAGTATGATTCTCTAGGGAAGTGAATGAAGCAATTATATACAACGAAGAGAAAGCCCGTCCCTCTTGTTCTGAGCGTAGTCCACAAGGGACAGAAAAAGTGATTAAAAGAATCCATATTGAAGAGAACCCACATCCATGTGCACACCAGAGAGAAACAGAAATTAAGAAGTCGGGCACACCGTCGTCGTCGTCTTCACGACCACCGTCTTCGTCGTTGTGAACGGGATATGGTTCGTCGTGGTGGCCGTGTACACGGTCTGGACGGCGGCAGCAGCAGCAGGAGCCGCTGCTGCGTTTGCATCGGAGGCAGTAATAGTGGTAGTGGCGAGAGGGGCAGAATGGGTGATGGTGCGGGTGTTGAATTGCGTGTGCGTTTGGGTTTGGGTTTGTGTTTCGGTTTCGGTTTCGGTGGCAGTTGTGGTGGCAGTTGTGGTGGCAGTGCTGGTGACCGTGGCAGTGCTGGTGACCGTGCTGGGGGCAGGTGGGTTTACTGCTGGGGCTGCTTGAAGCGCGACTTGGGTGTTAGTGGCTGTGGCAGTGGTAGTGCTAGTGGTGGTGACGGTGGTCGTCGCGGTGGAAGTGGAAGTCAGGACGGCAGTTGAGGTGGTAGTTACAGTAGCAGTGGTGGTCGTCGTGGCAGCGGCGGCGTTGACAGCGGGAGCGTTGGCGGCGTTGGTGGCGCCGGTGGAGCTGCTGCCGGAGCCGCTGGTTGGGATGCACATGCAGCCTCTGTGACGTTTGTTAGTCTGATTCTCATCCCGAGTATGAATCTGGGGTAGAGGGTGCTTACGGCAAGGCCTGCCCGAGGAGCTCGAGGCCCAGGAGTTGCAGGGAGGGGGTGTTCTCGCTAGCGCACATGCCGGATTGGAAGCCCTGGGCGATACACTGTTGATTCTGGCGGTTAGTAATGCGATACCCGGTGGGTGAGAGGGGTGGTGGTAAAAAACAGGGTCGACTTGCCTGGACGATACAGACATTGGCGTCGCAAGATCGCTTGGCGATGCTACCGTGTGAGGGCAATGCGAGGGCGGTGTAGCTGCTGCATGCGAGCAGAAGAGTTACAAATGAGGTGCGCATGTTGGTGTTTGGGTTGTTGGGTTCTCCAAAAGGTGTTCGCGTGGACAATGGCGAGTTGAGGTTGATTATGGTATTGGTGATAGGAAAGTTGTTAGGCGTAGTTCTGGGTTGTACAAACTCAAGCCGGGGAATCTAAGCATTTAAATCTTCTTTTTCAGCAATCTGGTAATGCTTAGACTGGACTCAAGCCTTTGCGGCTACCGGGGTGGAATTCGAGAATGAGACATTTTGTATCGCCCGCTCACAACATCCGACCTAATTTGGGTGTATCTTTCTTTAGAAAGGAATGGGGGAATGCGTGGATCCTGAGATATAACCGTCCACCCCACGGGTGGCTTCGCGGTTGTTGCCTAGAAGACCAGGTGTCGAGAATGTGGAGGGTCAAGGGTACCCCAGGCAACGCCCATCTGTCAATCCATCGAGTATGTGTAAGTGGCGGAAAGACGGAGGTAATTGGCGGAAGGTTGAAGTTGGCTATTTGGGTTCGGTCAGGTACCCGACAGTTGGGCTCTCATCCCTTGCTTCATCCACAATGTCATTCTTCGTCTATCAATCATAACACACAACAGCGATCGCTTCTCTCCTGGACACTCAACTCAGAGTTTGATTTCCCCCTAAGCGTTGGCATCAGCGTATCCTTTACCATCAGGTCAATCAGTAAATTGGCCTTTCAATTTCTCCCTACTATGAACGAGATAGTGGTTGCCAGTATCGAGCGTTATGCGCCTGTTAACCATTCTAACCTCATCAATCCTACAAAATGTATATAGTGCAATGAATAATCGGAAAAAGTAGAATGCTGTTCACCAGACCTTATGACCGAAACAGGCAGGATGCCACAAGCAGTCGAATTTTGACAATAGCATCATCAAATGGTCGAACTCCTGCGGAAATGATCGAAAGGTCATACCAACCTAATCTCTAGTTTTCTCAAGAACATGGATTGGATGCTCTACAACCTTCAACTTTGTATACATATGACATAACCAACTCAATGGCCCTTAGGTTTATAGTACAGAAGCCTAATCATGACACTAGGTTTCCTACAATAACCGCCAAGACAAGGTATCTCGATTCAAGCGCGAGCACCGAAGACTCCAAGCTTGAAAATGACTTGGCGTTCGAAATCCGATGTGTACTGTGCCCTCTCTGGCCAGCTGAATTGCAACTTGTCAAAGACGTCACTTAGTGCTTTCACGCCAAAAGATTAGAATAATTGCTCAGATAACTATGCCTCTAAGTATTGACGGGGCTTTCTTAGATTAAATCTTCATCTTGCATCAGTTATCTAAACGCTTGTTAAACTATTGCGAATCGTTGTGTGAGTTTGCTGAGTTGTAATTCAGCGGACCAGCAGGTGTGAGCAGCGCTACCTTCGACGTCAAGTGATATGGCCGCTATTCCCCTTCACGGTAAGCATTCAACTGAGCAAACTTCCTGCGGTGGGTTATTGTAGGAGGTGCAGAATCATCACTTTGCGCAACAGATGCTAGTGCGAACAATGGACGTGTGGCAACTTGTTTCATTATCACCATGAGGGCGGATGAAGCTGGATATATAATCGCTACTCTTCAACTACTGAGCGAAGCCGGTACTAGGCAGTAGGTTGTAGTTGCCTTAATTATTACATAGGTATCTTTTCTACCTATATTTTGTTCATTATAAACCTGTAGAGGATCAATTTGCACCACATGTGAAACAATAAGAGGATTATCATCTATGAAGGTATAACGATGCCATTCAACGCTTCCGAGCTATCCGAAGCCCCCCGAGCCCTAGGTCGGTTCCTGCCGTGCGGGCGTGCCTGAGGCCCACGATTGGTGCAGCCGAGTAGGGCTAGTACTCTAGTCCCCCTACTAAGACTGTAGCATACAGAACTAGTCTCGCGTCAATCGACAAATCGAAATCGGCTTACGGGCCTCCCAGCTAGTGAGATTCCAGACCAGCCGCACAAGGTGGGCGAGGAAGAGAAAGGGGGTGACCGGATCCCGCGTTGGGGCAGTCAAATTGGTATGGGTACAAAGATACAGATCAAAAGACCTCACCCAGCTGTGCCGCTGCACCTTCCACATCTCAAAGGGCTTTGTCAAGCATTTCCCGCAGTTCGTCAGCAACATACCCCGGATTATCCTGCTGCACAAAGTGCCCGGCGCCCGGCGCCTGGAGCGGGCCCTTGCTCCGCTCCGCGTCGGTCAGCCTCGCCAACCCCTCATTAAACCGATGCCAGTAGGGGTTCATGTACACCTCCGTGAGCCGAGGCGGCGCCCCGCCCATCTTCTCGAACTCGACCTGAAACGCCTCGAACTCGTGGCCCACCACCGTCACCCAGGGCCCGCGACCGTCCGGGCCCAGCAATCCGGGCCCGTCGCTGTCCGGCAACAGCTGCGCCAGATTGCGTCGGCTGAGGCCCTCGCGGCTGCCGTTGCTGGGATGGAAGACCTTTTGCATGTAGGCTCGTGCGGCGCGGATCGCATCCGCGTCCACCCCGTCCGGCAAGCTGCGCGGGTCGAACCCGGCCGCGTCTGGGTCCGGGTAGATGGACACAAAGTCGGAGTTGGCGAGCACGCTGTCCAGGAATAAGAGCCCGGCGACGGTGCCGGGGTACTGCTGTGCATAGAGGCGGACGAGCGCGCCGCCGATCGAGTTCGATACCAGGATGAGCGGTAGTTCGCTGAGGTTGGAGACGCCCATCTTCTCCGTGGCGATTTGCGTGAGGAGCTGGTGCAAGTCATGAACCACGGTCAAGGTGTCGTGCCCGTGGGTGGGGTCCTCGGCGGTGCTGTCGTTAGGGTCGCGGTCGGTGGTTTGGCCCTGGCCGTACCGGTCGTAGGTCAGCATCGTTGGCAGGCCGACGGCCGGGGGCTGGGCCTGCAGGTGCGCGATGACGCCCTCCCAGGAGGTCTGCGGGAGTCCGAGGCCGTTGACGAAGACGACTAGAGCGGGTTTCTTGACGGTGTCCGCGGCGGGGTGGAAGCTGTAGCTGAGCTGAGCGGAGGGCTTGGTGGCCAGGGAGATGAATTGGTAGTGAGGCATGTTGGAGGATGAGTTGGTAATGGGCAAAACAGGGCGAGTAGAAAGATTAGAAGAGCAGGTCGAAGATGTTAGGGAGACTGGCAATAAAGGACAACTTATAGGCAGGCAGGCACAGGGCGCTATACAATAAGCGGGGACCACATCATGGGGCTAATGGTCTTAGCTTTCGGCCCGTCGGCTTATCGCGCCATAGCTGTGGACCCACAGCGGGTTAGACGTCGGATGAAATAGTCCATGGAGGATGAATACAGTCCCAACCTGTAGTACTGCAGTTGATCAAGATCACGTTAACGCTTCTGGTATCTCCGCATCCAGTCGTCATCCGAGCAAACTAGAGTTAAAAACCCTGTGGCCGTCATTCTTAACCTGTTCAAGATTGCCCTCACCTCCGGGATGAGCCTGCGCAAGCAGAGTCCCTATGCGATGACCATATTATCGAGAAACCAATCTGGCCAAGCACTGCAGAGGTCCCTCAAGATGTAAAAGCATCACGAAAATCCACCCCTAAGGCTGAAACACAAGGGGGTGTTACTCTCAACGCGTCGAACCTCCTCTCAACCAATCACAACGCCCCCTCTGTCGAGATGTCAACTGATCACGAAAAGCCACTTTTAGGGCTGTCCCACTGTTGATGAGAGCCTGGGACGTGTCGACAGGGGTTTGACGTGTCAGGGTCCAATCAGAGTGTCTGGCCTGGCGAGATATCAACTGATCACGAAAATCCACCTTTAGGGCTGGCTCCGCTGCGGACGTGTTGTCTGGGACGCGGTGAGACATTCACTGTCGCGTGGCTCCGGGTGGGCGGTTTGGATCTTATCTGATTGTGCATCTTGTGTGGGTGGTTGGGTGGGAGGTGCTTAGGGTGAAGGGTTCGTCGTAGGGTCGATGGTAGTAACCTACCTTAGGCTGGTGGTGAGGGATGACTTCACTAAGCAGAGCCTCAAGAAGGAACTGGTGACGAGATAAGAAGGGAAACCCGAGAGGAAAGAGGAATAAGAAAGGCGGAAGAGGAGAAGCGCATGATGAGCGACTGGGGAACCAACCCCATCATTTTAGTAAGAAGGATGATCTGTTCCATGTGACGCAGTTGGTGGCTTCCGTGCTTATGAGCATATATCATCCGAGCATCCACGGCGAACTTAGCTTCAGAGCAATAAAGAACACTCGACTACCCGAGTCAAACACAGAAGATAGATCACTGGCGGGGAATCAAGAGCCATGCTGATTTCCGGACTACCCGTGATGATAAGCGCTTGTTGACTGATACTAGTGGTGAGCTCTCGTTTTGCATATGCATACGAGAGATACTTCCACCACCGCCAGCACCATTGAACCTAGACCTCATATCTCGAGCCCACCCGAGTTACATTGACCTACGAGCACACATTTGAGCAAAGAGTATCAGTATCATCTGATTCTGGATCCTTCTTTCCTGCGCATCGCATGAGGGAAGGGAGGGGATATAAGCCCAGATTCATGTCTTAGTGAAAGGCTGATGCTCGGTACTGTGAGTTCATACTCTAATCAGATTGCCCCAACTAGGAACATATAGACGTTATGTCACTTGTGACTCTTTCCAGAAAACAAGTTGATGTCAATTTTGATCGCTCGATGAACGCGAAGGTACGTACAGGGGGCTAAAATACAAAGGTAGCATGAGACACCTTTTTTCAAAGGAGACTAGAACCTTTTTGCGATGGCAGAATTTCCGAGACTCTTCTGAGTTGATGTCGTGTGGTGGTATAATCTGATTCAGCACGTTGCAGTCAAGGTTAGAGATTGCGTCGAGTCTGCGCCTGGGGAGACGATTTGTAGCAGAGAGATCCTTTGAGTCCTACCCTTCAAGAATGGCTAGGAATGGGATGGTTTGGGTTCTACGGAGATGAAAAGAGTCAGTGTGGCGGCCTCAGAAGATGGACACGTCTGGATATGGTACCGCCGGTGGAAAGCCTGATGCCGTGAATGGACCTCGCTAGTGGTTGTTAATTTTGCCAGTAATGTGCTTCAAATTATTTAAGCGGGGATTTCAAGTCACTTATATGAATGACCCTCAGTGGGCCAATCTGAACTCTAGTGGTGCTGATCAATGCCCAATGATCTCGTTGACATCATTCCAATAGAGAGACGATGTGGTAAATGAGGTCAAGAATGATCGACCACAGTCAGGGTCAAACTGATGCTATATGCGGTCGATCGGTAATAATGACAAACCCCTCAACAACGATAACCTTCAATAATGGAGCCTGAAAGGCACAGCGCAGCATTCATCTAGTAAGCATGGAACCAGCCAAAGAAGTAACCACTTGAAATGCGATTAGGAACTCGAAAGCAGGAGAGGTGACCCTTCCTCGGTTTATCAAGTATTTCAAATCCAAATAACTAGCTCAAACAGAAACAGGAACACAAAAAACGAGGCAACTCGGGTGCTAAGAGAAATCCTCCTCTTGCGACTCGATGTTGTTCTTGATCCGCAGCAGGAGCGTCGTCTTCCACTTATCCAACTTGCTGAGCTGGTCGTACTGGAAAAGCTTGTCGGCAAAGGCTTCCTGGTCACCGGCTTCACAGGCCTGGACCAGATCGACGAGGAGCTGGTGCTCACGGGTGGAGGCGAAGGTGGTGTCGATGTCGCGGTAGTTTTCGAGGGCACGGTTGGTGGCGACCAAATCCTGTTTTCGACGTTAGGCAGTTGAGGATGTAAGGGGTCGACAGTAGACTAACATTTGTCGCCAGGTGGCAGATACCAGCCTTGAGGAAGTAGTCCTTGACGGACCATTTCATGAGGTTGTTGTTGATGGAAGAGCGGCCAATGCGCTCGTAGTGCTCGACGGCCTTGTAGTAATCACCCTCGAGGGCGGCCAGATCCGCGGCCTTGAGGTAGTGCTTGTTCGCGAGGCTGGATTTGTAAGGTTAGCCCTGCCGAAGAGATGACTCAAGCGCTTCAGCGTCGAAAGGTAGAACATACGCCTCAGCATTATCACCCTCAAACCACTCCGCCGCCTTCTCATAGGCTTCCAGAGCCTTCTTGTTGTCACCCAGTTCCACCTCATACACTTCGGCCAGATGTTGCTGCTGCGACGCAGCGCGACGGAGGTTTCCCTTGAGTACGTAGTGCTGGATGGCGCTGGAGAGCACGCGGGCGGCGTCCTCGGGGTCGGACTTGCGGTAGACCTTGAACGCCTCGGTTAGGGTGTTGGCAGCGTCATCGGGCTCGTTGAGATTCTGCGTCTGAATAGATGCGGCCTTTTCGAATGCGAGACCGGCTTCCTTGTCTGAAAAGGGGTGAGGGGTTTAGTGTCAGGGTGGAGGTAAGGCGAGTGGGAACGCGGTGCGGAGCCTGCTTACTCTGCTTCTGAACTCGGAAAGCATTCGCAGCCTGCGAGTACAAGTCGGCGGCATTTTCATATTTTTCTGTGCGGCCACCAAAGAAGCTGAAGCCACCAGATGCGCGACTCAGCGCTTGATCAGCCTAAAGAGTGGAGGAGCATAGAATCAGTGATCGTCATTCATTTGGAGTCGGGCATGATAACGTGGAGGGACAGCGGGGCGGGGGGGTAAGAGGATTTTACTTTTTGGAGAAGGACTCGGGGATCTTGAGCCATATTGAACAGTTGAAAGTTGTTTACCACAAAGAAGGGCAGAAGCTATATTCCAGCTAGAGCAAATAAAGGATATTGGAGTTATGAGAGTGGCTCAGCCAGCAAGATGAGGAGAAGACGGAGGGCGACCTGAAGCGTTCAAGGTTGCCGTCACTAACAGCGGAATCGAGAGCTTCCCTCCACATCAACGTAGGCGGTGGGCCATCGCGCCCTCCCATTGGAGGACAGCCATCAATTGTTGTGCCCTTTGCTCTTTTCCGGTTCTCTTCCTCCACCGCGGCCCAGTTCACCAGTTCACCAGTTCACCAGTTTCCAGTTTCCAGCCTTCCTTGCTTGTTTATCTCTGCTTTCGGCCTCTACAATTGGCACACGTGTCTACTACATCTATCAATCTGACCAACTACTTGCGCACTCTCTTGCGGACTCACCATCACGACCGACATGTTCTTGCGCAGCAGCAGCTCACGGCTCTCCGTCTTGTTGCGCCGTCAACCTCCGTCGCGCTCCCTCGTCGCAGGACATCGCTCGTATTCTACATCCCAGCCTCAAGGACAAGATGACATCGACGCGATCCTTGCGAAGCCGACTTGGTCTGTCCGCTCGCTGCTCCCTGACGAGACCGATAGACCCTCCACTCCCTCGGTGACTCCCGAACAGCTCCGCCATCTGCTCCGCCTGTCTGCACTTCCCCAACCCGCGAACGAGGAAGAGGAGAGAAAAATGCTCGATACTTTGGAGTCTCAGATTCATTTTGTGAAGCAAATCCAGCGCGTCGACGCCAGCGACGTTGAGCCTCTACAAAGCATCCGCGACGAGACCCCTGAAGCGGTGAAGGAGAACACGATTGGTCTGGAAAAGCTCAGAGAAGCCTTGTCCAAGGAACGGGTTGTCGGACGCAACAAGAGGATTCAACGAATTGAATCGCAAAGGAACGAGCGACCGGACGGAGACATCTGGGATGGAAACGCCCTCGCATATGCTTCCAAGACCAAAGGCAAATTCTTCGTTGTGGATACCAAAAACTAAGCGCTTCTTTCTGAGGGGGAAAGAGACCAAGATCAGGCACTTTGCACGCACGCTGGAAGGTTGGTTCAACCTAGGAGTGACTTGCGTGATTGTTTCAGCTGCTCGAAATAACCGGGGGCAGTCTGGGCGCTGAGTCAGCCGTGATCTCATATCCGCTGCAAGCGGCGACCTCCTGATTTCTGTCTCACTCAATGATGCCTACGTGATTGCAGCTTGTAAGACACCCCTTAGCATCAATTGATGTAAATTTCCAACTGTGGTCATCCGCAATCATGTGGAAATCGTTCAAAGAGAAACATGCTAGCAAATTCGGCTCGGGCCATGCTACGCCGCCTGCTCCGTCTCCGAGCGACCGCGGAGCAGATCTGACAACCATCC